TCTACATAGCTGATGAGATGCAGTAAGGAGAGATTTGTGTACAATGAGGATTCTCAGGGTTTGACAAGATAAAATAACCAGCTATCATCATCGTTTCCAACGAACAGTAGGGTTAGACAGGGTTATCCCATCTCCAAATTTTTCGTTAACTTTGCCATCTATGACATTCTGAAGTCATCTCCGAAGGACGTGCTCGGTGGTGGTGTAGATCTGCTTTCTGGAGAAAGACTTTTCGACCTCAGGTGTGTAGACGATATCGTCTTACTGCGTGGTAGCAGTATTCAGGCTGCTCAAATCTCACTTAATCTATTGGAGATTAGTGTCTGTAAGTATGGTATGCATTTTACGCCGTCTAAATACAAAGTACGGTCACAAGATTATTAGGAACCTGTATCTGCACTCACTCTTTCAGTCAATAAGTTCATGTATGTAGATAATTGTGCGAGTGCTGGCGGAAATGTGACAGACGAGATTTCTAACCGTGTCATGAAAGCTATGGTGGTATACCTCAACTTGAGCCATCTCTGACGCCATCGCGATATTAGTCTGGCTGCGAAAGGTCGGGTTTACATTGCTTCGGAGCTCGAAACCTGGCCTCTCCAACCTGAGAATGTGGGGCAACTCTGGTTATTCGACCTTTACTGTCTCCGTAGAATCGCTTGCGTTCGATGGCATCACAATGTGAGTAATTCTGAGGTCCGGCAGCGTGTGTTTGGACACAGTGAAGTTCACCATTCATTGAGTGTCGTCAGCTGGAAACACTGATTTAAGTGGATTGGACATGTTCTATGAATATTATCCCATAGGTGTCCATATCATCCTCTGTTCGCCACCTCTGAAACTGGGTGGAAACAGAAGAGAGGCGGCTAGTCTATGACACGGCGCCGTGGGATGAAGTACATTTGTGTTGCTAGATTAGCGTCATCAGTTGGTACATCACGACTCCCTGGTTGGTGTCTAAGAGATACTTCCAATCGGTGGCTTGAAATGTTATCAGATGCTATGGCCAAAAATCACAATCAATGACGATTATTGATCGGACCTTGTATATGACTTTGAAGAACTTTTCGAATGGAGGTGAATGTTCTGAATTCACCAAATGTTCTGTTACCGAACTGTATGCACACTTGTGTTCTCCCTTTGCTAATCATGCTGGATAGTGTTCCCGAGCACATTTTACAGGCGGATATCACTTTTAAATTCGAGGTCAAGTATCAACATCTTTTTGGAGGCGACTTGGACCTTTTCAGGTGTTTTCCTTAGTTTCAGATTCTTGTCCTTGAATCTGGGTGAAGGGAAACCATTTTCTATTAACATCCCTCGGGGATTTTGCGATTGATTCAAAACCCCCATTAAAATTTTCAAAAGAATGGTTACTGAACAAAGAATACTCTTTTCGATAACTTCATCATCAGGCTCTACAGTTATATGAATTAGTGAATGAATGAATTAATGTTGTTTCAATAACATCGAATCATTAATAATGTCAATGGATTACAGTTCAGTGGCGTCAACATAACAATAAACTGAATGTCAGAAAAGTTAGGAAAGATAATAATACAAATTCATCAACTTACAGTCTCTATTGAAGGCCAGGGCAGTAGTAGGGGCTGGACTTGTTTCTTTTGAACACAGAGAAGTGGTTTTTTTTAGGCGAATTGCAATAGCCTCTGCTGTTTGGAGCATGCGGTGCTTCGATGTTTTTGGCAATTTATTAAGCACCCGGTAGATGATAGAAAAGTACTCTTCAACGCTGGCTTTGTGACCTCTCGCTTTGGACCAGGTGTTCTAATATCGAACTCTTGATGGTTTTTACTACAACTTTACTTAGCGGTGCTGGGAGATGTTCACGAGATATAACTCGCTCCACAAGCGGTTAAATTGGTAGATACAATTGGAAGTGGTTAGTCTAGGTACCTCATCTTTCAGTTCAGGATTCACCATCGGTCGGGTAGAGAATAAGACACGAAGCTAGCACTAAAGAATCCTTCTCTATTATCTACAGGGTGTCAAATAAATTACCAAAAACATCGAAGTACCGCATGCTCCAAACAGCAGCGGCTATCACAATTCGCGTGTAACAACCAGTGCTTTGTGTG